CGTTTTCTAAAGTCTCCAACTCTTGCTGCAACATATCCTCAACAGCTGTCTTATTTTCAAGAGTTTCCCCAAATCCACGGTTCTGACCCTGATAATTGCTATCAAAAGCTATGGGACTTATAGTCTGCCCGGTGAGTTCTTTGGGCTCAGTTGTATTTTTAGACGAGTGTAAAGTTGGAAATTTGTCGCATAGCTCTTCCCCTGGCCTTGTGACCATGTCCTCGTTTGCGTCGTCTTGCCTGTGTTCAAGGAAAAACTCAATGCTTTCGATTCTAACAATTTGATCTTTATCTGACCCATCAGCTTTTCCATGTGTTGTGAGACCATCAGTTTTTCCACGTGTTGTGAGACCATCAGCCGCCCGTTTGTGCTCCCTGTTACTTTCTCGGTCGGCCTCCTGACTTAACGACGCACTTACTAAGTTACTATTAACTGAAACAGCAATGTTATTATAGCTCCTTGATGCACTTGTATTTGGACCGTCACATACACCTACAGCATCACTGGAAGAAGAAAAACTTATTCCTGTCATGGAGGATTCTGACGAAGGTAGCTCAGCACTTGATTCACTTGACAGACTCTCGATACTTCCAGTTTGGGAAAAAATGCTTTCACCAGAGGTATGCGTAGGTCCTTCACTTAACTGAAAAAAATGAGTACTTTCTAAGTGAAAGATCCGCTCTATTATTTAGATTGGAATAGTCCTTAGAAGTGCCGATAGCAATCACAAATAATCTTGGTATTGCATATTGTGTTCTGTAATTGCAATATAAAACTCGCCCCACTACCTAACCTTCTCGCCTGCGCGATCATTCGTTTTATCGTTGAGTTCTTATTGGCTGTTTGGCATTTTAACATCCTACCTGGTTGGTTTAACGATAACATTTTCCTTTGATCTTCAAAGAAGAAACAGAACTGGCAAAAAAAGAATACTTACCCTGGCGGTTTCCACTTCAGTATCAGATTTCGCGTCATCAGTCTCCTGAGGCTCTTCATTCTTTTTAGTTTCTGAAGATTCAAGAAAAGAACTCCTTTACAAACATGAACTTGTCACCTTAGCGTCTCAATTCTATCCCCAAAATTTAAAAATGTACGTCCTCGACAGCTTGCTGATGCTACATTTTTCTCTTCTGTACTGAGATGTACATAAAGATGTAATAAACCACGTCTATAGGTATGAGAGCGAGTCAGGAGACCTGGATCGAGTACACCAAATCAAGTTTCACGAGGCAAATTTTGTGACACAAAAAACCTGACCTGTCAAAACAAAAAACTTGGCATTAAAACTTAACCAGAAGCGGAAAGGAGGTTACAGGACTTGAATCACCATATTAACAATAAACAATAAACAATAAACCTTAAATGGTAATTGGATTCATCGTCTTAGGGGCCTGGATTCCAGGGCTGCAGTAAAAGTATTTTGCGACTGAAAGGAGTGGTTTTCTACACAGCGTTATAGTATTATTGAATGTGACTTTGCAGTTTTCGTAGCTCGATATGCCAGACCTGAAATGGTACTTTGAGTTTGCTCTCCAATTCCCGTCGTGTTGGATAAATTAGCTTTGCCTCCATTGTCTGATGTGGCTACGGTCACTACTGATTCTTCTGACCCCATGAAACGCTTTATCGTCCCCGTAAAAATGTCTTCCATTATTTTGAACATCGAATGAAGAACTTTATTAGCATCGTCTCTATCAATGACCACCTAAAGATGATGAAAAAGGAATCAAAACATCTCTACTCCACTTGGTAAATGCGATTATTCAGTATGTATGTACTAAGACTAAACTATTGCATGACTAATCCCTATCAAAGACTTTAACATTTTCGCAGTCAACTTTTTTTAACAAAGAGGAGTTGGTTAATCATAATTTATTGTAATTCCTTCTAGCTGAGGTTAATGCTATAGGCAATGGCTCTCTATGAAATTACGTTCGTGTTCTTCGAACCTTCTTTGGAGAAACATATCATTTGCTTTCTAATTTTGAACAAATTGTGCAAAAACGATTGTTTTGAGAGGTCTGTTGGTACGATGAGCGTAGTCCTTCAAACAGTTTTGGTCAAAATTAGCAAAGTCATAGTCACAACCACTCCAATGATGAGTTTTTGAAGTCTCCACAGCTTTACTATATTGCTGTCAAGGCTAAGAAACAGCCTTCTCCCCTCATTTTAGACTAACAGAAAATACCCGTTGCTATTGAGGCTGACCCGCTCCTCTGCTACGTACCAGTCAAAGCACACATTGCTATAGGTATACCCCACCTGTCGTCCTTGTAAGTCAGCTTGCGGTAACCCCTCCAACTCAGCTTTCAAGCGCTTTCTCTCGGCCTCGTGCCAGTTTAACAAGTCATAAATACCATCAGGATCCAATAATTTGTGACCAGTTCCATGGGGTATGTAATCAACATTTTGATGTTTGGCTCGGACCGAGCTCTTTGTGGATATTGGCACTAAAGATGATGGTCTATAGCAGTGGGTAGCCTCCTCGTCGTCCAAAACAGACGAAACACGACGTGATAATTCCTTCATCATTTGAGCCCTTAAATCTGCAGGGTTCTGATCACTTGATGCTTTTCTTGGAAATTTAACTCGCGGAATGGGAAGCGTGGGTGGAAGGAGGACGTCATTGTCTGTTAGGGTTTCATGGCTGCCGCCCCCAGCTGTTTTTTGCTTCAATTCTAGCAGTATTTTGTTTCTCAGTTGTCCTATTTCTTGATCAGACAAGTTCATGGGAACG